TTACTAGTACTAACAAGAAGCTATTAGAAACAAGTGCCTCACTACTAGTAACAAGTGCCTTACTATTAGTAACAAGAAGCTTATTGTTATTACTAGTGAACATGGTTTCTAATAGCTTCTTGTTACTACTAGTAAGGCACTTGTTACTACTAGCGATGCACTTGTTATTACTAGTGAACATGGTTTCTAATAGCTTCTTGTTACTACTAGTAAGGCACTTGTTACTACTAGCGATGCACTTGTTACTACTAGCGAACATTGTTTCCTTTTAGCTTGGACACCTTCCAGCGTCCTTCAGCCACCCCAGGCGAGAGCGCAAGAGCTCCAGCCGGGCCTGTGACAAAGGCAGGCCCAGCCGTTGATGCTCCGACGCGTTAGTAACCCCCGTACGTCTTGTCATTGGGTCACCAAATGAGCTCAAATGAGGTGGATCTTAGGGAAATAGATCAAACATTCCATGCGAATATAGATCAACAATGTCTATATGACATTCTATAGATGTCTATCTAGATGGATCTCCTGCAAACAGACGTTCTGACAACATTCCACTAGATGTATCAAGCAAATATTCAAATATGGGTCACCTTCGCCGTGCACCGTCCAGCAATTGCTTCTAGAGTCAATGTTTGAATATTTCCGGACTCGGACTCGAATGGAATGGCAATCCTTCCAATTGCGTTCTCGGCTTCTTCCCGAAAGGAAGACACACAAACGCAAGCGTCTCATGCTGGTCTCATGCTTCTCCATCAGAGTCAGACTGCCATGGCTAAAATCACTTCGCTTCATGGCTCATCACTCGTGGCCTTTCTCATGGCTGGCAGGTACCCGTCGAAGAAGAATTGGCTTCCTGAGAAGCCTCAACAATGAAACCAAAGTGTTGTACCAAGCATCTCAACCGAGAACAGTCTGCGTTCAGTGTGGATCTTTTTGATAGCTGGATGAAGAAGTGGATTTTCTTAGGAGGGGTTCAATAGGTCGTGGTATTATCATGATGGATCAATGACAACCAGTTGTATCAACCCATCTTAGCCAAAGCTGGACAAAGTCGGCACCGATCTTGCATCTTTTGGTCTAGCGGCGACCAGTCTAGCGTCGGAGTCTCAAACAGTCAAAGTCATTGGTCGCTAACGACGAGAGGTGGCGCATTTAATTTGAGGAACGACTTCAATTGATGAACCCTTTCGTCTATAACAAGTCTCTGGCAACTGGCAATGGATTGTGCGGCCAAGGAGAAACACACATGGTGTCTTCATCATGTTTGCTTTCCTTCGGTAGCAATGTGGAAAACACAAATCAATAGTTCATGGTACATGACATCAACCACATCTGTCTTCCTATTCCTATTCGCACTTCCATTCAACCCAACCCAGTCCATGAAAAACCCACAGCCATCAGCTTCCCCAAACCAGCACGGTGAGTCGCTTCCCACAGCACCCCCTTTTTCTCACGACTTCTCTGCTGGGCTTCTCTCGCCGTCGAGACCTGATCGCATCAGAACAGTCCACCACGTCTGAGACACAGCTGGAGACGCTGGTGATCCGGTGCGGGTCTTGCTTGTCTTTTGGGAGTAGTACTCAGTGTACATCACATGTGACCCGGCAGCGGTTGCAGTCATCAAAATGCCCTCCATCTCCACCCCCACCTTTCTCCAGCTTTGCCCAGTCATGTTCATCCAAGGCCTCGGCACTTGCCAGGCCGAAAACCCGGGTGAAGAGGGTGCGTGAAGCCAGGCGGGCGGCGTGCAGACGGTGAGGGTTTTGACTCCGCACCCCCGAAGACCTTCGGGGCACGTGGCTCTCGTCTACACCGGACGAGAAATTTTTGGCCGAACATCTGCCGAATGCATCCAAGGGAACACGCATCGATTTCACCAACGTAAGCCACGACCTGAAACTAGCCAGTTTAACCTATGTAGCGTTTTCCAGGTAGATGAACAACATCGTCTGCCCAAAACCTCACCCTTTCGTTCACCTCAACAAGGGCGGAGTCTATTCAAACCCAATGAACAACACCAGGGCCCCTCCGACCACTGCCGATCAAGGATCCAGGCATTCCACGAGCTGCGCCGCGCGTGGGCGTCGTCCTCGTAGTCGCTGAAGTCGTCGATGGCCAGTTCGGGCACCTGCGCAGCGGATCACGCGCTTTCGGACAGCACGAAGGGGCAGCATCACGCGACCTTTGTTTTGGGGCCAAGAGATTCTGCACATTGTAGTGGAAAAAACGTAGACAGTTTTGAGGTACATTCGAAGTGCATTGAACCGAAACATGTCATGCGAACAAGCAAAGGCTGTTCGTTTTCATAAAACCGCTCCGTGTCAGTCACGGCAAGCTCTCCGCAGCAGCTGATCTTTTCGCAAGCTCGGGTTTGACAGGCCAGGACCGGCTCGGACGTGAGTTGTGGTGGCACGCCGTTGCGAAAATCGTGTTTGCCCCAAACGCATGGTGGAGGTCATTTCCAGGCGGCTGTGTTTCAAGGGGATAGCGATAACAGCCACTTCATTGCGCGGTTGACTCACCAAATCCAATCAAATCCACTTGCCATCAACATGGGGACTTTCTGTGGAAGCCCCAATGGCCCTACAAGTAACGGCAAAGGCCCCGCTGATTGCAATCCAACCCCCAGAGCTAGTAGCTTCTTGTTCCCAGTAGCGATGGCCTCCAACCTAATAGCATCCTTCTTTGGCATTCAGCCTCTTTCTATACCACATCTCGGGTAGGTTGGGGATTCTGGGTGATTTCAGAACCTTCCACGGCACCGATTCCTGGAAGGACGTGCCGCACGTGCCAGGTCGCAGCATCGACAGCAAAGCAAACGAACATCGGATTCGTGGGATCAATTCCATGGGCTCAATCAGTTGATGTTCCACTAATTCCTTAACAAATAAAAAGAAAAACTGAATTACTAGCTTCTTGTTACTAGTAGCGATGCACCTGTTACTACTAGTAAGGCACCTTTTACTAGTAAGGCTCAATCAGTTGATGTTCCACACTTGAAGATGCAGGCCCCTCGCCGAAGGATCAATCAGACTTGTTCGGACAGCTGGTTGGCCAGAACCACATGCCACATCATGTGGCCCTTAGCGGTCTTTGATGGGGTCAGACTTTGGAAGACTCCTAACTCGTAAGAGGCTTGAAACTAGACTTCGGGCAAAGGTCAGAAGACTTCCGTGATGTCACCAACAGCTTGTCTTCGGGCAAAGCGCCTTTTGGGGCCACACCTAGCCATGCCAAGTGGGTGACCTTCCAGGCCAGGCTTCGAGCCATGCCACTGATTCCTTGTCCTGGCCAAACCGGAAAACTCGCCTGAGCGAACCTACGGGTTTTTCATGGGAGGCCATCGCCGCTGGGTTTGCTTGCTTGGAGCAAATGCAGCAGTTGATTCGTCATCAAGGCCTTTGTAGGCGCTTCCATCTGATTCCACCCTATCATTCTCGAAGTGAGAACAAAGGAGGTCCTAGTAGCTTCTTGTTCGTAGTAGCGATGCAGCTGTTACTACTAGTAAGGCACCTGTTACTACTAGTAAGGCACTTGTTCCACCAGCTCGGCGAAAATATGGCTCCGACCCTTCACCACAAGCGGCCACACGTCCCTCGCAGTCGTCGCCACGACACCGTCGCTCAGCAGCGTCCATCCAGCCAAGCGATGACTTCGCGCACCTGGGGTCGGGCGATCTCTCGAAACAAACAAGAATGGGCAACACAACGATTACAACGATGTGATCCAGTGTTATCTTGTGATCTCACGAGTTGGTCATGCATATCCCAAAAAAACCTGATCCCGGCAAACGACCACAAGCTCTTCATGTCATACATGTTGATCCTTTCTGTGCCGGAAGATGTGAAAGCAAGTCCCGTCCCGATTGTCTCAGATTGGCTCAGCTCCAGGCAGCTTGCTGTGTGACATCTGCCTTATCCTGCATGCTGGACCAGTGGCCAAAGCAGAAAGGATTGGTGCAAGGCGTCTGTGAAAGGAAGCAGCACCAAGAATTCGATGGGTTTGGGATGGTTGGGACTCTGGAACGTCTCCCCATTTCTTACATTGACATGTACCATCATGTACCCAAATGTCACCACTGAGGGTCTGGGATGGTTCGGACGCGGGAACATTCCGCAAACGAAGGCTTCCGGTATCTACCGTTCATTCGACGGGCCCCTGCACCAAGAAATCACGACATGAACATGACGAAGTTATGCAAAAAAGACTGTTGACTCTGTGTTAACAAGCCTACAGAAAGAATGCAACCGAATCACAATGCCTTCAGCAAGATGTTCTCCTGTAGGGAACCATTCATCATTCCCTCCGTCTCCGTCTTTGGACGTGTCCGTCTCCGCGCGCGGGCCCGCGGATTCTTGCGCCTGGAACAGCTGGTGGCAGCCATTTGGGATGACTTTCAAATACCTCTCATGTGAGATGCTAGTAGGTTGGAGGCCGTCGCAAGTAGGTTGGAGGCCATCGCTCTTGGGTTG